TTGTTGTTGTTATTGTTTGGGGGCCACACCCAGCTGTGCTCAGGGCTTCCTCCTGGCTCTGTGCTCAGGGATCACTCCTGGCAGGCTTGAGAGCCACTGTATGGTTGGAGATTGAATCAGGGTTGGCTGTATGCAAGCAAGCAATCTGCCAACTCTACTAATTAAAAAATAATAATTAAAACAATTGTGGGGCATACCTTGTGGTCCTTCAAGTTCCCCTCCTGGCTCTGTATTTAGGGATTATTCCCTGCAGGGTACCAGGTGGTACCATGAACCAAACCCAAGGCTCCTGCATGCAAGGCATGCAGCTCATCCTCTTGAGTTATTCCCCTGGTTCCAAATATTATTCTTTAGCAAATATGCAAAGCATTTTCAAGGTGGTATCTTATCATAATGCTTATAAAGAGCCATACTGTTCAGCCACTTGATAGCTGAAGTGGAACTCTGCAAAGAAAACCAGCACAGTTTTTCTTAGTTCAGAGATCTACTGGAAGACACAGCTGATGATGTAGAGGCTCTGAAAAACAGGATTTATTGTTGGGACTGATCACAGATATTTTCCCATGGACAGTGATAGTGTCATCTAATGTTTCTTCTGTTTTATTAGTAGATGCATTCCATGAAGAAATACTTTACCTGTGCTTAGCTTGCCCTGTAAGAGGACTAAGTCCAGATGTCACCACTGTGCCAAGAACAGTTACTGAGAGGAGCTACAAAATCAGCATAGGTGAGGACAGCTAAGAGGCAAAAGTCAAGAAGGTCAGACATTTGAAAAACAATTACCCTGGGTTGACTGATAATTTTGCTGTAAGAAATTCTGGAAAGAAACTATTTTACTTTCAGGGCTGGAGTGATAGCACAGCAGGTAGGGAGTTTGCCTTGCATGCGGCTGACCTGGGTTCGATCCCCAGCATCCCATATGGTCTCCGAGCACTGCCAGGAGTAATTCCTGAGTGCAGAGCCAGGAGTAACCCCTGAGCATTGCTGGGTGTGACCCAAAAAGAAAAAAAAAAGAGAAACTATTTTACTTTCATAATAAAATTTGTGAGTTTTGGACTGGGCTGGTCTATTTTTAAAAATTTGAGTTGCTGTGATTTGCAATTTTGTGAATGATAAGGTTTCATTCAGTATTCTAACATCATGTCCTCCACCTGACGGTGTGTTTCCCTCTACCACTGTCTTGGTGAATATTTAAGTGTATATCACTCAGTCATGGTCCTCCCATTGTTCATCAATTTGCTCGAGCGGGCCCAGTAACATCTCCATTGTGATGTGAGACTTGTTGTTACTGTGTTTGGAATATCAAATACATCACAGGTAGCTTGCCAGGCTTTGCCGTGTGGGCGAGATACTCTCGGTAGCTTGCCGGGCTCTCCAAGAGGGGTAGAGAAATCGAACCCGGCTCGGCCGGGCCAGTTGCATGCAAGGCAAATGCCCTACCTCTGTGCTATCGTTCCGGCCCAAGTGTACATATATATATATATATATATATAATTGTATAAGAAGAAGTGGTTCATTCACACCCCACCCCCCAGTACTTACGGCTTGTCCAAGGAAATTACAAAGGACTTTAAAATGGGGAAAAAGTTTGGTGGTACCCTAGCTGGCCTTCCCAGATTTTCTATTACTTTGTTTTTGTAGTCTTTTTACAATTGTGCAAGTTGTAGGCATACAGATAGGTTCTGGCTACTAAAATGCAATTGATTATTCCCCTGTGAGTATTAGCTTGTTTTGCAACTGTTTATAAATTCATTTCAACATCCCTGATAGCCTAAATATGTGTGATACTTTGAATTTACCTTTAAACTCATGGTAATGGCTTGCTGATTCTCTCACATTGTAAAACTTTTGAAATGTGTTAATTAGATCATCATATAAATTTTGAATTACCTATTTAAATAATTATCAGAACATTAAGAGTAATAAAAAGTGCCCCCTCCCCCACCTTTAAAGCAAAAACCATGAAACCATGTTTTTCTTTTGGGGCAGGTGGTTTAGGTCATACCTGCAGTACTTGGAGCTGTTTCTAGTGGTGCTGAGAAACCACTAGAAGTGCTAGGGATCAAATATGGGACTCTGGGGTCCACAAATGCCTCCTTAACACATGTGCTCAGGGATGACTTCTGGCAGAACTCAGGGGACCATATGTGGTATAGCTAATCAAACTGGGGTTGGCTATCTATAAGGCAAGTGCCTTAACCCCCCATTCTCTCTCTCTCTCTTTCTCTCTCTCTGGCCCTAACCTGTTTTGGGTTTAGTTTTGGTTCATATCCAGGTAGACTCTGGAGTTACTTCTGGCTCTATGCACCAGGGTCACTCTTGGCGGTGCTCAAGAGGATAAATGTGGTGCTGGGACTGAACTGGGATTGGCTGGATGCAAAGCAGGCACCTTAAACCTTGTATTATTTCTCCAATATTTAACCATTTTTAATTGTAGAAGTTTCAGCCAAGAATTCAGGAAATTAAGTATAAAGGGCATACCCTTTTTGCATCTAAAAGAAGCAAATACCAAACACAGCAATCTCCGGTCTCCCAGTACTGAATCCTAGACAGTGGTCACAAGTAGAATGTCATTTTGTTGTTTTGTTTCAGGGCCGTAACTGGTGGGACTCATAACTGGTGCTACAGGGCCATAACTGATACACTCCTGACTCCATGCTTAAGGGTAAGTCCCAGCAGTTCTCAGGGGACCATGGGGTGCCAAGGATTGAACCTGGGCCATGTACATGCATAGCATGCACTCATTTTATCGAGCTATCTTTCTGGCCCTCTCCATGTCAAAAATTTTTATTACTCAATTACAGATTATTCATCTGTGATCTGGAGAAAAAAGACTTATCAGTTATTTACTACAGGTTTCTGTAAGAGTTACACGAGAGGGGTTGGGGAGACAGCAATGGGATCAGGGGAACATGACTTGATGTGCAACATCCTGAGTTTGGTTCCTAGCTCTACATGACCTCCACCCCAGCACCTCAAGGCTGGCCCTTGTGGTTCCTGGAAGTCTGCATTACTAGGCCCAAGCTTTGAACCATCAAGCCTGCAGAGCTGGACTAAATTTCACCAGGAATAGTCCAACAGGTCCCTTCAGCATTACTTGGGAGATCCCCTCCCCAAAGAATTATACAAGGTAATGCATGTAAGGAGGACCTGGAGAGATAGTTTAGGAGTAGATGCATTCATTTGCATTGCAGGCTGCTGACCTTAGCTCAGTCCAAGCACCACATATGGTCCCCTGAGCACTGCCAAGGGTCACTTCCCTGAGCACAGAGCCAGGAGTAACCACTGAGTAACCAGAACTTCCCAGACCTTCCCCACAAAAGAAAAGAGATAATGTGGGATCAGAGTGATAATACAGCAGCGAGGATGTTTGCCTTGCACACAGCTGACCTGGGTTCAATTCCTGACATCCCATATGGTCCCCCATGCACCGCCAAGAGTATTCCTGAGTGTAGAGCCTGGATTAACCCCTGAGCACTGCTAGGTGTGATCCAAAAAGTGGAAAATAAAAAGAGAGAGAGAAAGAGAATGTACAAAAGAGTTAATTACAATGCTCATAAGTTGTAAAATATTGATGTTACTATCTTACTTATTCATTCTTTTATTAGTATGCATTATTAAATAATTCCTATAACCAACATAAATTTTGCTGAAAAGTAGCAAATTTCAGGGACCCCAGCCAATTTAATGATTAGTGGTTCTAATGACATCATTTAATATTTTTGTGATCAGTTTAAATAACACTGTAGAGTTACATTTTATCCTAAGATAATACTCAGCTGAAAAATACCATGGTAAGCAATTAAATAATGGTTTCCTACAGTTACAGTAAAGCTTTAGTGTACTCATTCCTTTCTTGAGAAAACAGGACATTCTGATCCTGTGATAATGTTCAGCTAATGGAGTTTATTTTGCATCAAATGATTCACATCGATGAGTTCATTTTTTGTGTTGAAAACCAGTGCAGCATAGCTGGGCTTCTTGCTCTACTCTCACTGACTTGCTAAAATACAACTGCTGAAGAGCACATCAATTGTCTGGCTCGGCAAGCAAAGGCCCAGCTTTTCCAAAGACATTCTCTTTGGGCTTACTCTTGAGCTTAATGAATGAGTTATTTATGGATTGCTGGAGAAAAAAAATGTAAGAAGGAAGAAATGGTCATTCTCTAGGCAATGGTAGAAAAACATTCAGTGAATTTGAACAGATTCCATTTGGTATGACTCAAAAACTAGATCTTGTGCTTTTAAAATCAAGCTTTAATCTATTTTAAAGAACAAATAAATGGATATGCATATCCTTGCAAATATACCTAGTACAAAGTAAAAGGGAGGTATAATCATCTTTCTTCCTCCCTGTATTCTGGGAGGTAAAACACATTTTCTGATGTATTCAGAAAAATCTGACAATGCCTTCTTTATGCAATGCTTGGTGTATTTTGATCCCAACCAGGAGACAAGCAATTTTATATGTATGTAGAAACCCACTACCCCCTGCTCTTTCCCCATTCAATCTCTCAGAAAATAAAAGGCAAACCATGGGGACTTCTTTTTTTGTTGTTATTTTTAATAAAAATTCCCAAAGGAATACATCTAGCAGGAGGGGAGATTATAAAGTCACAAAAATCACCGGCAGACCCCAGGGACCATGATGCAGAGCTGGCTGTCACAAGAAGCCATCTCCATGGAAATAAATGCATTGCATTGGTGCAACCTACAAGAGCCCTTAAGCTCACCCACCCTCCCACCTCTCATGCACACCTGACCCCAGCTTTCTGAGCCCTCTGCCTTGCTATGGACTCCCACCACCCACTCACTCCAAATAAGGGCACCTTCTGTTTTCTTTCATGACATCCCCTGTTGGTCCTTGCCTGAGAAACAGTACTATGCGTGTTCTTCACACTATAGAGCTGACTCTTTCCTAAGTGGCTTGATTGCAAGCATATAAATGGAGCAGACAAACTAATCAAAGCTATGAATAAACAGAAACAAAGACATACTCACAAAACTAGGCCAACACGCATATACTGGGGAACCATGAAGCTTCAGGCTTATACATAATGTCTGTTCAGGTTTACACATGACAGATTGTTCCAGTGCAAAGCCTCCCTCCTGGACACAAAGAGGAGGAGAAGTTAGCCATAGGACCAATCATCTAGAAATCTTCCCATTTTCTCGGTAGTACAATAAAGAACTCTAAGTATACAAGTGTTTGTGTGTGTATTGCTTTGATAAAAATCATTTCAGGGTGGGTGGTTTTCTTTGGAAATAGAGTTGAAAAAATAAAAGCTCTTGAGGGGTGAAAGACGAACAAAGAGAAAAATTTATGTTTTTGTATTATAGATATGATGAGATAATAAATAATCATTTATATCAACTTAGTGTTTTCCATGAGGTAATCAAGCAACTCATTTTGCTAAGTTTCTATTTTCAGAATTTGCTGGTGATTTTTGTGTTTAAGGAAAAGAAAATCAATAATTCTAAGGCACACACTGTAATTATACCATACACACACACACACACACACACACACACAATTGGGTTTGGGGATCACACCCAGTGGTGCTCAGGGGCTACTGCCAGCCGTGCACATGAGATCATATGCACAGGGGATTGAGTGTGGGGCTTCTGCATGCACTTCAGCTCTTTGAACCTTCTCCCTGGTCCATGTCTTTTCAGACTGAATGCTTCCATGGCCTCTAAATTCTAATTACTTAATCTCCATTAGAGTTTTTGCCTTGCATTCATCACTGACAACTTTGAATTTTACATACTTATATCTATCTACATGAATGCTTATTTGGTGAATATCTGTCTCCATGATCAGGCTGAACTTTTGCTTACAGTTAACACTCACCCCACTCCCCACACAAACCTACCACCTCAGAGCCACTGGTAAATGGCAGAGCTTAAAAATAAAACTGTTTAGTGGTTTAATAAAGACATTCATGTTCATAAACATTTGGGTAATAACTAGTATTTGTTTTAGACCGGAGAGGTAAAAGTGAATTTGAGACGTTAATTTAAGTTCTTAATTATTGTCAAATTCATTAGTACCTATTTTCAGGTCTTTCCCATTGAAGGTGTGAGAAGAATGTTTTGTACAGAAGGAAAACAAGCATCTTTACTCAAATTTAATTAGCACAAGACTTTTGGTTCATAAGTGAGAAAGCTGATGAGGCTTTTCCCTAAATCATTCTCAAGAGCAAACCAGTTTACTATAAACTGTATGAATATCTAATCATTTGTTGCTTGTGGTAAGAAACCAGTTTACCACACTACAATCAAAGGGAAGCAATTACTACGTGCACCTAATTTTAAAAGTAACACTTAACACTTAAAAAGACTGTGTTTCTCAGTCTTTTTCTGATGTGATCTCCTTCCCACAGTGTTTCTTTCCTGTGGGGTGTTCCCCCAACCCCAGCCTTTTCCTCTGAGTTGGATCCCTAGTCTTGTGCTAAGGTCCCCCCATTTATGTAATTTTCCCAATAGCCCCAGTTGGAAAATGTAATTTAACACATTGCAGTTAATATCTCACATTTCCTGAGTACTTCTTAAGTACTATATAATGCAAACAACCTGACATGTAATTTTTCACAATTAATGCTCACAACAATCTTGTGAGGTACTAGTATTATTTCTGAAAGACTAAAAGAAGTTGAATAATTAGCAGAAGGAGAAAAGCCCAAACTAAATTTCTGGGTCTCTCTGACTTTAGGGCCTTCTTTTGGTAGCAATTAACTGTTCCTATCTTTATTTCCTCTCCTAAACTGTGAGGGCGGAATTATTTCCTCCATTCCTCTTCAATTTTTTTTTTTTTGGTTTTTTGGGTCACACCCGGCAATGCACAGGGGTTACTCCTGGCTTTGCACTCAGGAATTACTCCTGGCGGTGCTCAGGGGACCATATGGGATGCTGGGAATCGAACCTGGTCAGCCGTGTCCAAGGCAAAGGCCCTACCTGCTGTACTATCACTCCAGCCCCTTTCTTTTTTTTAATCTAAACATTTTAAAGTTAATTAATCAACTGTAACTTACAAAGTTATTTATTGATAGTTGAATTTTAGATATACGGTGTTCTAGCGCCAATCCCACCACCAGTGTCAACTTCCCCACTACGCCAATGTTTCTAAATTCTCTTTCACCACCTCCACTGACCTCTTATACCAGCCTGCCACCTTCACAGGCAAATTTTAAAGTTTGGTGGGTTGTGTAGTTTGAATCTCATATTTTCAGTGTTATCAAGTCTGTGGTTTGGTGTTTTCTACATTCTTACAGCTCAAGCACAAAGTACTTGCCTTCTGTGAGTGAGACTGGAGTTCATTCCCTGGTATCACCACCATCACCACCATTAACAATGGGAAGACAAGAGGGAAGAAAAATCTCAAGCAGAATGTAGTGAAAATAGTAAGTGCTCAAAAGATGTTTGGTGAAAAAAGGAGGAAGTGTTCTCAATGATCAAGACTATAGGATGTCTATCATAGTTTTAATGTTAGGTAGAATTTCCAATGGTGTGTGTGTGTATAAATAAAATAAGCTCAAATACTTACATAATAAAATAATTACATATAACATAAGTATTTATTAAATTAGTAATCCATACTTTATGTCAAAGCAAAACAAATTACCATTTTGTTAGCTAAAACTGTCTAAGGTCGACTAACAGTATTTTTTTAACAGTATTTTTTTTAATGTGGTAGAACTTAATAAAAAATCTATGTCAAATTTTAGTTATATACAAAAATCGCTTCTCCACAAAGTCCTCTATTTTATATATAAATTTTGCTTTTATCCCCAACTCTAATGCACTCCCTAATGTTCCTCACTTTTGTAATGATCATTTTATATGTATTTATTATGACGGCTTTTTGTTGCATATGGAATTCTGTCGTAGGTGATTATGTGATGACCTTATAATGAAGAACAATACCCAAGGAATTTAATGATCATACAAGCTGGTCATCTGCTCAACCATGAGCAATTCCTTAATAACTATTTTCTCTTTCACACGAAAAGGAACAAAATCAGAACTTCAGAGAATAAACCTGGCAACACGTGCAACATGTTTTGCATCTGCATGAGTCCTAACAAAAGAATTATTAAGTTCTTTATGTATTAACTCAGAGAGAAGTCACAGCCAAGCCAACCTGGCAGGCACAGTCTCCGGACCCAGATTACTGGAGCTTTCTTGGAATAGGGTAGGTTGAGTCCTTGTCCTGTTGGAGGGACCAGTGCTCCCGCTTCATCTGCTTCCACTCACAGTTAAATGTCCTGGACCCAAGACCAATCCTGGAGAGAAGCCACAGCTGAACCAAACCTGATAGGCCTGAGCCATAATGTTGCTAAAACATCCTCGTGAGGCCATTGCTGGAGTGCTCGGCTGCATAAAAGGCCACATGCCAAAGTTCACCTTACTGACAGTACAGTAAAAACATAGAAAATTACTTGGGGAAGTTGCATAGAAGCCCACTAAGTTCACTGAGTGAGAACAATGGCATAGAAGGCTCAACTAGCAAATTCTTGAATAATGACTTTAGTAACACCACTATGGAATGTGTGTTGTAATAAGCAAACTAAATTATTTTGTGCCTGCTAAGGGGACAGACAGGGATGTGGGTGGGTAACATGGGATATTGGTGGAGGAAAGGCCATTCTGGTGGTGGAATTGCTGTTGGAATATTGAATACTTGAAATGACTATATTATGAATAATTTTGTAAATCACAGCATTTAAATAAAGTTTCAAATAAAAACTTTATTTAAATGCATTCGTAGCTGCGCAACATCTTATTATCTCATTCCTACTTTGGACAAACTGGCAGGCTACCAAAAGTATCCTGCCCACATGGCAGAATCTGGGAAACTCCCCGTGGTGTACCCAATATGCCAAATACCAGTAACAATGATGGGTCTCATTCTCCTAACCCTGAAAGAGCCTTGAATATGGCACTTTTTAAAAAATCTCAGGGCTAGGATGAAGGAGATGTTACAGGGGCCTGCTCGAGGCAATCAACGAACAACAGGATGGTCGTGATCATGATCGTGATCAAATAAAAAAAGAATTCTTTATGTATTAAACTTTGTGAAATTCATTTCTTCTTCATCTTGTTTGGAACTTCCTCTAGGGATTGACTTTCTGCCGATGAAAACATGATAACAAGATGGTCCCCAATTTGGGGCAGGGGTAGAGTGGTTTGCGTCTATCCAGTTATACTCAAAATCTAGAACGTAAATGCTAAGTATATTTTATTGCAAGCTGTAAACATCTTCAGTCAAAAGTGGGCACAGGGACTGGAGCAATAGCACAGCTGGTAGGGCATTTGCCTTGCATGCGGCTGACCTGGGTTTGACTCCCAGCATCCCATATGGTCCCCCGAGCACTGCCAGGAGTAATTCCTGAGTGCATGAGCCAGGAAAAACCCTGTGCATTGCTGGGTGTGACCCCCCTCCCCAAAAAAAGAAAGAAAGAAAGAAAGAAAGAAAGAAAGAAAGAAAGAGGGCACAATGGGATTATAATTCAGAGTTTCAGTTCATAATTTGTTGGTATCTTTCCATTAATTGAGGCAGTACTCAATATATCCCTATCTAGTGAATATGTCACACTTAAGAGTCACTATATATATATACATATATATATTATATATAATGTGTTTGTGTATATGTTTCCTTCTTTCTGCGCATGATTTTTCAGGGGTGCTAGCAGAGTACTTGGTTACTTGTCTTTTCAAACCTGGGGAGAATTGGGAATCAAGGAGAGGTTTTTTTTCTCTTGTAATATTTTTTTGTTGCTGTTAGAGAGTGCCCCACTCAGGCCTGCTTGTGCCTGACGTTTTATTGTAAACAGCTCTTCACTCTCAAAATTCATATTTATTTTTCGCTCTCATACCCTCTTCCTCTCAGAAGTCAAAGGCTAGTCGTATTCCTCCTTCATAGGCAAGTCCTTCCACCCACAGTGTTCCTCTGATTGAGAACAACTTCCTTAGGCCCTCCCATTAGGGGTTCAATCAAATACGACATTTTCATTTCACTAAAACCCAGGATGAGGGTGCTGTGAGAAAGTACAGTCATTAGGGCACAAGCCTACCATGGGTTTAATGCTTGGCATTACATGGTC